AAAAATGGCCACGCTTTCCTCCTCATAAGCAAAAACGTCATCTTCAGGTGGAGGAAGATTCAAATCAATCCCACGTTTTCCCTTAGTTGATAAAGAAGGAAGAGCCACAACTTCATCATTCCTTTGATCAAAAGTATGCACGAACTCTTTTATGAGCGCCTGACCCTTTAACCCCACTACAAGCATCACGCTTAATATTCTCATGGCTTGCTCTGCGCCCTCCTAAGGCTTGCCTCAAACCGGAAACTTTCTTACACAACGAACATGGATATAGAACTTCAGATTTGCTACACTCTTGTCGATCTTTTTCGACGCTTGCAAGCAAAATCAACGATCTTGCAAGCAATAATCTCGATACGTAGTTGAGGACTCATTGGAACTAGGATCTTCATCGCCTACCTCCTCTATCGAACTTATTCCATGATTATCGGTATATCGAACTTATTCCATGTTTTAGCGCTAGCGTTTGTTGAATGGGTGCAATATATACTACGTAGTGGGGTGTTCATGGGATGAGCATTTATGCAAAGAGCCTAACTAAGAGTCATGTCCGTTCGCCTCGCCCAAATCTTGATGTCACGTAATTAGACTCTCTTCATAGTTTGATGATGATCATCTCTTTCTTGTTTTAGAGAGGACTGATTAATTTATTTCAATAGAGGTTTGTATTTAATTGTTAGGTGTGATAGGAAGGATGTTCACAAATTTGGACCCACGTTGCCGTTTGAGGTGGACATTAATTTTAATGGTGAGACTTGCTAATAGTAAACGTCTTGTAATAGCCAACTAGGGTGTTTAGATCTTTAGTATATAAACTACTAAATCTTGATGAGGATATATATATATAGTGAGCTATGGGTAGGGTTTAGTCTCATTAGGAGGGACTAGTTGAAGCCAAATTCAGTATTGATCATAAACTAAATTGAGAAACTTAGAACTTTAGGTCCAGAAAAGATATTTACTAGGCATTTTGAGTAAATATCATCTAGCAAGAAGTTTGCATGAGATTGACTCAGAGGACAAATTCTCAAGTTTAAAAAAAAAGTTGGCTAGCTCTCACAGATAATAACTTATACATGCTTACGTATACACTAATATTTTCTGTAATTAATTTAATACAAATCTCCCACGATAGTACCTGGTTATACGCTTAACATTATCAAATCTGTTTTCACAAATCCTCTACATTTTCCCATACGACACTTTGTCCAAGATTCTTAAACTACTAGATTATACCAATTTGTTAAGTTCATCATTCTTTCTAAACTTTCTCAATATGGGACTACAAGTAGAAAAAAAAAAATCAGATCGACAAGAACTCACATACAACACAATTTACCAAAACTCTTTCAAAGCTCAAGAATAACAACAGAGACATGAACTTGTAGAGAAAAGAAAGAGAAAGAAAGAAGCCAATTTAGATGGAAGATACTTGCTAAACGTTACATTGAATTTATGGCATATCCAGGAGCTTATTAGCAGTTACAATTACTGTCTCCGATCATCTTCAAGCTAAATGGAACACCTCTTTTGTACTGTAAACAAAGCTACTATACTTGCAATCCCTTCTCTTGAAGATTGCCTAGAGAAATTGCTTCAATCTCTTCTGTTCAATGTGACTAATGTTACAACAACCCATTCAACTTGCACTCTAACAATAAGTTATGCATAGACATAAGGGTCCCCGAGATCACCACCAATTTCTTAAAAATGGTGACTTAGGGTTATGCATGGTTTCCATTCTTTGGAAATGAGGCTGTGAAGCAGAGGTTCGAGTAGAGGGCGATACATGTTCCTGTGATGTCGCTTCACCTATTATGTTCAGAACTTGCATCCGGTGCAGCTCTTTGCCTGAAAAGGAAACAAAGGAAAAAAAAACAAAACAAAAAATCAGATGTATACACTGTACGTATATATGTACGTATAAGCAACCAAGTTAACCTTAGAGTCACACAGATGTATATACACTGTACGTATATATGTACACGTGTGTGTATTATATGTATATATAAATATATGTGTGTATAAGCAAACAAGTTAACCTTAGAGCCACACAGATATTTAATACAAAAGTGTATATATGTAAATCATACGTATGTACGTATGTATATCTGTATGTATCTATAAGCGTAACTATAAGCAACCAAGTTAACCTTAGAGCCACACAGATACTTAATATTAATACAGAAAAAGGAACACAATAACAAGTGTCTAATATTTGTAGTGTTAGGATAAAGATGCCCAATTTAAAGGAAAATTATACATGACAAATATACAAGCAATGAATATTTATGGATCAGAACGTTGAGCAATTAAGAAACCTATGTGAAATCTCATGCGGTAGAAATGAATGTTATATGATGGACGCGTGGTTATATACTAAGGATGGGGTAAGAAATTAGTGCATTTGTAGGAAGTTAGAGATTGCTCCTATCGAGGATAAAATAAAAGAATCGATGAAAATGTTTTGGTCATATGCAACAGAGACATTAAATGCACCAGTTAAGAATAGTAGTAGGATAATAGTTAATCAGCCTAAGAGGACTAGAGGTAGGAGATGTTGGGGGATTNTCCCTTCCGGACCTTGTTAGAAAGTTGAGCAAGAAAGAAATTCACCACAAATCAAAGATAAAAACTTACAGAAATAAGAACAAGAGAGAACACACGAATTTAACGAGGTTCGGCAACGTGCCTACGTCCTCGGGAGCCACAGAACAAGAGAGAACACACGAATTTAACGAGGTTCGGCAACGTGCCTACGTCCTCGGGAGCCACACCACATAATCTCTTTGATTAATTGAAAAAGGAATACAAGCACTCAAACAAGGGATTAATCTCTCTGAGATTTTCTCTATTTTCTCTCTTTCTGATGGTTTTTCACATTCTTATTAGCCTTAGAAAGCATATATATATGAATCCCAGCCCAAACAAAATTCAAAACAGATTAGGAAACTGCCAGCTCGACTCGCGGTCGATCGCCGAACCAGTCACGATCGATCGGATAAACGACAGAAACCCAAAACGCCTACAGGGTATCTCCGGTCGACCGCAGAATCCATCGCGGTCGACCGTGAAAAGTCCAGAGACTTTTCTCAGTCGCGTGAATGTTCGCGGTCGCCCGCCGAGAGCACCGCGATCGACCGTACTGCAGTTTTCCTGTTTCCTTCGTTTTGCTTCATCTTCTTGATTCCAGCTTCGACTTCAGCTTTGGGTCTACACTTAGACTAACAATCTCCCACTTGAAGACCAAAGCGTCATCAACAAGTTTACCCGAACTCTTCCCTTCTTCGCAAGTATCTTCTCCCCCCCTCCCCCCCGAAAATCCTTTCTTCAATCATCAACATCCCGGCGATCTCCCCGATCCTCTTAGTGTGGCTCCGCCTTCATTTTCTACTCGTGAAGGCTAACTGAAGTTGCGCACAACTCCACTTTCTTAATGGTGACTAGCTTCGTCAACATGTCCGTCGGATTTTGACTCCCCAAAATCTTCATTAAGTGTAACTTTTCGTCTTCAATCAGCGAGCGTATGAAATGGTATTGTACATCGATGTGCTTCATTCTGGCATGATAAACTGGATTCTTAGTAAGATGTATAGCGCTCTGGCTATCACAATAAAGAACTCATCTCCCTTGCTTCAGATCCAACTCTTCCAAGCACCCGTTCAACTTGATTATCTCCTTGCTTACTTCAGTCACCGCGACATACTCAGCCTCGGCTATAGATAAAATCACAATCTTTTGCAGACGCGAGACTCAGCTCACTGCTGTCAACGTTAAGGTATAAACATACCCCATGGTGCTTCGCATTGTATCATGATCATTGGCGAAGTCCGCATCCACGTATCCCTGCAGCACCAGCTCCCTCCCTCCTGAAACATAATGGCTTGTTCATTGTCCCTCTCAAGTATCGTAATATCCACTTCACGACCTCCCAATGCTGTTTTCCTGTATTGCTTACAAACCTGCTCACAACTCCCACTGCATGGGCAATGTCCGGCCTCGTGCAAACCATCGCGTACATAAGACTCCCAATGATCGAAGAATATGACACTCTGCTCATATGCTCTTCTTCTGTATCTGTCTTAGGCGATTGCTCCTCAGATAACTTGAACCGTCTTCCAAGGGGTGTGCTAACAACCTTAGCATTCTGCATATTGACCTCTGGAGTATCTTCTTGATATATTCAGCTTGGCTCAACCTCAACGTCCCTTCAGCTTTATTCCTACTGATTTGCATCCCTAAAATCTGCATTGTTACACCCAGATCCTTCATTGCAAACTCCTTTGACAGCTGCTTCTTCAAACTATTTATCTCCTCTAAACACAGTCCTGCTACTAACATGTCATCAACATATAATAACAATATAATAAAACGGACTAGAACCTCTTGAAATAGCAGCAATGATCCGGATTGTATCTTCTGTAGCCATTGTTTTGCATGAAGTTATCAAACTTTTTGTACTACTGTCTCAGAACCTGTTTCAAACCATATAAGCTCTTCTTGAACTTGAACACCATCTCTTCCTTTCCTTCTTCAATGAAGCCAATATGTTACTTTATGTAGATTTCTTCATCCAAGTCACTATGAAGAAAGTCAATCTCCACATCCAACTGCTTAAAGAAGAGGTTTTCTACAGTCACCAAGCTTAACACCAAGCTGATGATTGTGAGCTTTACAACAGGAAAAAATATCTTCGTGTAGTCCAACATCTAACTTCTCAAGGAAGAGGTCTTCTGCAGCCACCAAGCTCAACACTACCCTGATGGTTGTGAACTTTACAATAGGGGAAAATATCTTTGTATAGTCCACTCCTTCCTGCTGCTGGAACCCCTTTACAACTAATCTGGCCTTAAACCTCTTACTTCCATTACTCTCTTGCTTGATTCGGTGGACCCATTTGTTATGCTAGGTCTTTTTCTGTGCAGGTAGCTGGGCTAATTCTCATGTCTTATTAGTGAGTAGAGAATCTATCTCCTCCTGCATTGCATGCTCCTACTGCTGAGATTCACTCACTTGCATAGCCTCCTCATAGCACTCCGGTTCATCGCTATCTGTCAACAATAAGTAATCAAGAGAAGGAAGATATCTAGGATTCGGTTTGGGTACCCTGGATGACCTCCTAAGCTACACGCCCTGGGTAGTTGCTTCTACACCTGGAGCCTCCTCCGTTTTTTGATCAGAACAAACATCATCACCCCTATCTGGAAGTTCCTCTAAATCCATGTACTCGGATCCACCTGCATCCGAAGTGCTGCTCCTACTGTTTTGGCTTTCCTTGGTATTTTTTCTATCCTTGTACATCACATCCTCATTGAATATGACGTCTCGACTCCTGATGATCTTCCTGTTCTTCTCATCCCAAAGACGATATCCGAACTCATCAATGCCGTATCCAATGAATGTGCATTTCGGTGACTTAACCTCTAGCTTGTCCCTGACATGGTCACTAATATGAACATAAGCCACACAACCAAATACTCGCAAATGTGAGATATTTATCTTCTTTTCACTCCAAACCTCCTCTGAAATCCCAAAATCCAAAGGAACTGATGGCCCATGATTAATAAGGTAAGCCACCGTATGCATCGCATCCGTTCAAAATGTCTTAGGCAGACCTGTATGTAATCGTATGCTCCTGACATGCTCCGTTAAGGTTTTGTTTATCCTCTTCGTAATACCGTTCTGCTGCGACGCCCCTGGAGTAGTCCTCTCTAAACGAATACTATTCGTAACACAGAACCTCTTGAACTCCTCCAGCTCGTATTCTTCACCATTGTCTGATCTCAGACACTTCACCTTCAGATCTGTCTCGTCTTCACCATGGCTTTCCACTTCTTGAAGACTCCGAACACCTCTGACTTGTGCTTCATGAAGTAAATCCACACCTTCCTTAAGTGATCGTCGATAAAGATGACATAGTATCTCGAACCGTCAAAAGAAAACACACTGGCTGGACCCCATACATCTGTATGAATCAACTCTAGCTTCTAAACCTTAGGTGACCTTCCACCCTTCTGAAAACTAACCCTCTTCTGCTTTCCAAAGATACAGTCTTCACAAACCCCGACTTCCACGGAGTTGATCCCGATTAGCTTTCCCTATGAATGTAAGATCTTCATCCTCTTCTCGCTCATGTGCCTTAGCTTGTTGTGCCACAGATCTGTACTCTTTTTACCAGCTATAATTGTGAGGGTGTCACTCGCATGTGATGTGAGGTAGAAAATCCCTAATTTGTTGCCTCGGGCAACTACCATCGTACATTTGGAGATTCTTCATGAATCCTCTGTGAATGTTAAAACATAGCCTTCTGCTCCAAGCTGTCCCACCGAAATAAGATTCCTCTTCAGCTTCGGTACGTGTCTCACGTTCTTCAAGTTCCACTTAGAGCCCTTCATCTGAATCTGTACATCGCCCTTTCCAATAATATTACAGGGCTCATTGTCCCCCAAATACACTTTTCCAAAGTCCCCTGCTACATAATTTCGAAGAATCTTCTTATTAGCAGTGGCGTGGAAAAAAGCTCCTGAGTCGATAACCCAAAAATCCGAATTGCTGTCCATAGCAAGGATCAAAGCATCCTGCACGATATGAGCCTCCTGCTCACCCGCATTCTTCTTTGGACTCTTGCAGACTGAACACATATGGCCATCCTGATCGTAGTTCCAACACTTTTCTTTCTTCTGGCTTCTGCCTCTCTGCTCGAAGTTTAGGGCTAAACTTGAATCTTCTGATTCGTGCGCTTTTCTTCTAACCTCCTCAGATAGAATCATACTCACCACCTCACTCAACTTCAACTTTTCCTTCCCCATCGAATTGCTGATTGTCGTCACACAACCTGTCCAACTATCCGGTAACTGCGATAGTAATAAAAGAGTCTGCACTTCGTCATCGAACGTGATGTCTACAGAGATAAGCTGATCAATAATCGTGTTGAACTCGCTAAGATACATCGTGAAGGACCGTCCTTCTATCATCTTAAGGTTGAAAAGAATGTTTACCAGATGCACATTATTTACTGCAGACGGTTGCTCGTACATTTTTGTGAGCGCTTTCATAAGCCCTACTATCGTTTTCTCCTTCAAGATATTATACGCTACTGTCTTGACGAGCGACAATCAGATTTGCCATAGAACCTTCGTATCCAGTATCTCTCAATCATTGTCTGACTCCTCTTTCTTCTGTTATTTATTCTTACCTATCAACGAGCGATACAAGTCCTTCTGATACAGATAGTCCTCCATCTGCGACTTCTAGTAAGCGAAGTCTGAATCGTCAAACTTCTCGATCTTAGATTTGATTTCCTATCATGGTTTTTTCACAAATTGCTGAACGAAGCTCTGATACCAATTGTTGGGGGATTCGAAACAATCAAATCGAACCATTTCTCTTCCGGACCTTGTTAGAAAGTTGAGCAAGAAAGAAATTCATCACAAATAAAAGATAAAAACTTGCAGATATAAGAACAAGGGAGAACACTAGAATTTAACGAGGTTCGGCAACGTACCTACGTCCTCGGGAGCCACACCACACAATCTCTTTGATTAATTGAAGAAAGAATACAAGTACTCAAACAAGGGATAATCTCTCTGAGATTCTCTCTTTTTTCTCTCTTTCTGATTGTTTTTCACGTTCTTATTAGCCCTAGAATATATATGAATCCCAACTTAAACAGAATTCAAAACATATTAGGAAACTGTCAGCTCGACTCGCGGGCGACCGCCGAACCAGTCGCCGCGGCCGCCCGCCGAGAGCACCGCGGTCGACCGTACTGCAGTTTTCCTGTTTCCTTCGTTTTGCTTCATCTTCTTGATTCCAGCTTCGACTTCAGCTTTGGGTCTACACTTAGACTAATAGGAGAAAGAGAATCTGGTTAGAAGCAATTAATAATGATATGATAATAGTTAACTTAGAATTGAAGAATAAAATTCATGCAGCATATCCCAAATATCTGGTACAAGGCTATTCGGCTTGTTATTAGGATAAAAATGCCCAACAGAATGCTGGATTACCTTCCTCGAGTAGCAGATTTAATGCCCTTTTCTCCAGCTCAAGGGCATGTCGGCTTCGATCAGCTGACGTTAAAGACCGAAGCACTGTAATTATCATTAAATAAAACACAAATATGTTAGTAGATTTTGATTTCATACATTCATCATACTGAATGAGACCATAAGTAACTTACTGCTTTTATAATCTTCTTGACTTGACTGGTCGCAGTTCTTCAAAAACATTTGCAGCTGCAGATACCTTTCTTTCCACTCTTGATTGCTTGTTCTTTGAGGATAAACTGAAGGTTTGGGATCTTGATTGCTCGGTCTCTGAGGATCAGCTTGAATATTGATGTTTTGATTGCTTAGTCTCGGAGTATCAGCTGGAGCTCTATTATCTTGGTTGTTAGCTCTCTGAGGATTAGGTGGAGCTTTAAAGTTTTGAGTGCTTAGTCTCTGAGGATCAAAAAGAGCTTTTGGATCTTGATTGCTCAATCTCTGAGGATCACCTAGAGCTTTGTCACATTGATTGCTCGGTCTATGAGGATCAGCTAGTGCATTCGAGTCTCGTTTTCTTAGTCCCTGAGAATCAACTGGAGCCTCACAGTCACGATTGCTCAACCTCTGAGGATCCAGTGGAGCTCTGACGTCTTCATTGCTCGGTCTCTGAGGATCAAGAGGAGCTTTAGGATCTTGATTGCTCAATCTCAGAGGATCACCTGGAGCTTTGCTACATTGATTGCTCGGTCCATGAGGATCAGCTAGAGCATTGGAGCCTCGTTTTCTCGGTCCCTGAGAATCAACTGGAGCCTTGCAATCATGATTGCTCAATTTCTGAGGATCAAGAGTTCTAATGTCTTCATTGCTCGGTCTCTGAGGATCAAATGGAGCTTTGTAGTTGTGATTGCTGAGAGTTCGATTATCAATTGGCTTTCTGCGCTCTTGATTGTTCAGTCTCTGGGAACCGACTGGAGCATCAGAGTCTTGGCTGCTATCTCCCCAAGCATCAACTGGAGCACTTGGATCTTGATTGCTCTGTCTCTGAGAATCATTGGGAGCTTTGGAGTCTTGAGTATTCAGTCCTTCTGTATCAATCAGAGCATGAGTTGTAGCAGTAATCTCTGAATCAGGAGATTGGGTCTTGGCCAGTGGTAATTTCAGCTCTTTTGTTTCATCATTGTCATGTTTCCTCGACAATATAGAAGAACTAAGTGAATCTGCACTGCTCGAATTGTTCTTCTCGAGTTTCCTCCTTACATATACAAGATGTCCATTTACCCCTCTGTGGGCATTTGGTGAAGGGCTCGATGGGCAATCAGGTTGCTTCCTCTTGGTACCAACTGATGCCTTTGAAAAATCTGCTGTAGTTCCTTTCTCTTCAGGACATGGAGAGTTCTCTGCTGGTGTTGACATGATGTTCACCGAAGTAGTAGGCAACTCCCTCAAAGCCACTTTCTTTACTGATACAGGATGCTCTTTGTCCCCAGCAGGCACAACACTTCCATGGTAAATCAAACTGTTCTCATTGAAGTTACCGATCGCTTGCTGAGACATTGGAGAGTTACTGCTACTCACTGAGAACAGCTGAAGAAATGTCAAAGAAAAACAGAATCAAAAGCAATTGTGTGAGCGAAAATTCAGAACGGCAGAAGCTGAAAAGATTTAAAGTTACCAAAATCAATTATTTCAATAAACAGAAAAGGATATGACTTAATTACTAGGGGTTAAAAATGCATGATTGGGGCTTACATACCATGGAAAATATCTTTACACAGTATCAAAAGATTAAGACCCTTCTCCAATAACCCCCCCAAAAAAAGGTTAAAGTACAATATGATGAGTAAAGCAGGAATTTATTAGCAGCTGGGCTCCCTGATAAACGATAACAAAAGAAAAGCAAGGAATATGAATGACCATATCTCGCAGGTTACAACGAATTTTCTCATGAATGCAATCGAAGTTAAGTTTTTTCAAAGATCTGGCATAATGAATCTAAAATGAACCACATAATCCATTTCTGCTGCGTAGGAGTATCACATTGCTGACCTAGAGGCTGTACCATGAAAAACAGTCAGCCGTTTGTTACATGGAGGCCTCTGCTATTCTTATCATCAAACATCACGGTCAAACAAAGAATGCAACTCCACCTACACTGGAAGCATCAACATATTCTTTTTGTTACTGGAGGAGGTCATATATTCATACGCAGTAGCCCTTACAACTTGGGATAACAAATAAAATAAGATGTAATAATTCTATTCTTTTTGCATATCACCTTTCCATATCTAGGTATCGCTAAGCTCTAACACCTGAATAAATGTAAAGAACTTCCCATCTCAATGATGTTGCAAACAACAACCCACAACTTCTCCCTCAGTTCCTTTACTTTGGGAGATATGGACTGTAAAAACTGCTGCTCCTTATTTTATTAATTAAGAAATTTAAAAGGAAAATGCATGATGCCTTTATATATAATTGGATTCAGGCATAGTAAAGATATATTTTATATGTATGCAGCTGAGGCATCCTAACAGACCGAGAGATTTGAACCTTGTTCCTACAAGAATGTCGCTTGGACTCAAAATACTCGAAGGTTTTCAAGAAAAAGAGGAACGTACCTATAATTATGAAAAATTAGTTATAATGTATATATTAAGATGACCAAATATCTTTCTCCTATATAATAACATCTGCCTCAAACTCAAACAAGCTCAAACAAGTGCACATTGAGAATTTGCCAACCAGAAATTGGAACAAGCTGTTGGCTAGACTTGGTTAATAGACCACCAAACTCACAAGATACTGAACATAGGGAAATGCAATATTTTTTATCCATTGAAAATGATACCGAGAGAAGTGGAAATCAATCTTACTATGCTTTGTCCTCTCGTAAAAAGCTTCATTATGAGGAATCTTAATTGCACCCTTCTTGACACTCATAGGTCTAGGGCCAGTGGTAAACACACTCATGTCAGAAATTGGAAACCAACCATAAAACCAGTCTAAAAGCTGGAGGAGGGTGTTTTTTATTTTCCGTTTCTATCCCCTATTATCAGTGTTTTAAATATCGGCCGACATGTCGGACATGTCGGCCGATATAGCGGATTGAGGGGTCCAACGACACAAATCGGGGAAAAACAAGTCGCATATCGTTTTTTACCGACATATCGGCCATATCGGCGAAAAATCGGCCATATCGGCCGATTTTCTTATTTGGAAAATCGGCCATATCGGCCGATTTTCCTGTTTTTTCTTTTTTTCTTCTTCACACGTGAATGTTTGGTTTGTGGACTATTTTGATTAATAATAGGCTAATGATTACTTGATGTTTGATCACTTGATTAATAATAGGCTAACTGATTAATAATAGGCTAATGATTATTGATTAATAAGGAGAGATTTATTTTATTTTAAATGTGCATATGAATGTTGAAATGTGCAGAGTCATGAAGTTATGAATTTAGGAATGCTTAGATAGTTAGATTACATTTAGGGCATGATATTATACATATGTGGATCACCCGATATGGCAATCCGATATTTAGTCCATGTCCCCTGATATATCCCCGATTTCCGCTATCCGACATGGATTTCAGCCGTCCGACATGAACCCGACATCCGATATTTAAAACCTTGCCTATTATGTCTTATATTTCCTATTAGTCTATAGCTTCTAAGTTAAAAGTGCGGTTTTGGAATGAGGATACTATGAGCTAAAAAAAAAGTGGCCCAAATTTCATCCTTCAAATTTTCACTCTGTTAAGGCTTGGTGTTTGTTTGGATCTGAAGTGAGGGATTAACGAATAGAAGCTCAGTGAGGGAGGGGTTTCTCTGCAATTATGGGATGGAGAACATTGACTAGGTGAGGAAAATATGGTAATGGGTAGGGGTGTACACTACCATATTACAATACCAGCAACCAAGGATATAGAGGCCTCCATTCCCAAATATATAGAGCCCTGCTCTCTCTCCTGTGACAATGGGGAAAAAGGGAGATGAAGCTTAAGAAATCCGAGAAGACGTGATGGGTCCTAATCAGCACTACTTCTGTTTTATCAGAGGTCAAAATTCCTCAGCGCTTCTCCATTACCAAGAGACCTATGCTAATGCTAAGAAATACATACCCACTGGAATATACTCCACATGTATGCTCAACTGAGTAAATGGTGTTGACCTGTGTATTCACCAGAATACACGACACTGACTCCACCGAATCATCCTGAAGAACATCAATGAGGTCGAGGGACAGGAGCCTAAAGGCTAATACTGCTTCTACCATTGATCTTGCCATTTAGTGTAGAAGTGTTGAGTTGTTTAGATATATTAAGTTAATTAGTTAATGTTGTAAGGACCTATTTGTAAGAGTGCATTAATATAAAAGAAGGACCTCTCCATGTGAGAAAAAATCCCTTATTTTACCCCAAATAACTACATGGTATCAGAGCTATCTAGCGGCGACTAAACAGTGGTCTGCTTGATCTCCTTGCTCTTGGGCCCCACCGCCGCCGACGTCGACGCCGTCTCCAACAGATTCTTCCCGCTCGTGGTCACGACCGAGACCCCCGGCGCCTTGGAGCTCACATCCCCAGATCTCACTCTCCCAGCACAAGACATCCTTAACCCTAGCTCCTCCTCCTCCTCCTCACATCCCCAGATCTCACTCTCCCAGCACAAGACATCCTTAACCCTAGCTCCTCCTCCTCCTCCTCACATCCCCAGATCTCACTCTCCCAGCACAAGACATCCTTAACCCTAGAACACCTGTGGCTAGTCAGGAATTGAAGGAGATCCTGGAGGGGGTGACCAGGGTATTTCAGACCAAAATAGAAGAGAATTCTAGTAGGTCAGTCGTGGCCACACCGGAGTCGACGCAGGTAATGTAGAGGATAAAATTGCTGCCTAATGACATCAAGCTTGAGGGGACGAGAAACTATCTAAGTTGGTCTCGGAGGGCATTGTTGAATCTTCGAATCAAATGACTTGACAAGTATGTGAAGGGGGAGTGCACTGAGCCGGAGAATAAGGCGAGCGCTGAGTGGAACACATGGAGTAACACTAATTCTCTGGCGATTTCTTGGTTATTGACTTCTGTGTCTCCAACCATAGCTGGGATGGTGGAGTCTATCTCAAGTACAGCTGATGTCTGGAAGACATTAGAGGGGATGTACTCTGGAGCTGGGCGTGTGATGATGATGATGGAAGTAGAGGAGAAGATTAATGCTACCACACAAGGGGAGAAGACAGTACCAGTATGCAGCACAACTACGTCACTTATGGGCGGATTTGGACCACTATGATCCGTTATCACTACATAACCCGACAGATGTTCTTCTTGAGAGGTAGTATCTTGAGCGCAGGCGTGTGGCTCGTTTTCTCAAGGGTCTGAACCCAAAGTTTGAGGGAAGGAGGGCAGCAATGTGGCACCTGTCATCTCTCCCCTCATTGGATGAGGCTATTGCATCGATGGAACAAGAGGAGATCAGACAGAAGGTGATGACATGCCCTCACTTGCTGTTCGCTTGACATTGGTGGTTCTAGATGCTCACATCAGAGATGATAAAGATTGTTACAATTGTAGAAAGAAAGGGCATCTCAACTACAATTGCCCTCAACCCCGAAATACTGGTGGTAGCCGAGGGGACAGAGGACATAAATGTGATCATGCAGGTCGAGGAGGCAGGGGACGTGGAGGCCGAGGAGTTACTCACCTAGCTATAGCAGATGAGTCCCAGATTGCTGCTGAGATGACTGGAGCTGAAATAACAGAGCTGAAGGAACTACGTCAGTTCAAGCTTCAGGCTGAGAGTTCGAAGGGCAAGGGACAAGTCACCCGGGATCTGGATAACACTACCTGCTTTGGTAACTTTGTTGGTTATGCTCATACGAACAAAGGTACACAGGTTCAGGCACTTGCATCCACTAAAACTCATGTTGATTGGATCATAGACTCAGGCATCCACTAAAACTCATGTTGATTGGATCATAGACTCAGGTGCATCTAGGCATGTCACAGGAGCATCTAGTGAGTTTGCATTATATTATCCGAGTAAGCATATGCATCCTGAGGTAGTTCAAACTGCTGATGGGACATCCCAACCCATTAAGGGTACTGGCTCGGTCCATTGTACTTCATCTGTTACCTTGTCATTTGTATTGTATGTTCCTTTGTTTCCAGTTAACTTACTCTCTGTTAGCTCTCTCATTGATCAATTGAATTGTACTGTGTTATTTGATCGGGATATGTGTGTCTTCCAGGAGAAGGAAATGGGGAGGAGGATTGGGACTAGCATCAGGCGTGATGACTTTTGGTACTTTGACAGGGAGACTGCAATGATTGCTGTTGCTGTTAGCGGAGGGCCAGAGACAGAAGCAATGCTTCAACATTGTCGATTAGGGCATTTATCTTTTGATAGTTTGAATACGTTAGAACCTGAGATAATGAAGAAAGTGGATAGAAAAGAGTTATTTTGTAATGCTTGTGAACTTGAAAAACATACTCGTTCTACTTATAAAATGATTGGTCTTCGAAGTTTTGAACCATTTGCACTTGTTCATTCTGATGTTTGGACTTATTCATTCTGATG